GACAACCCGCAGCACCAGTCCATCGACCGCGACAATATCCTCACTTCCTTCCAGGCGCTCTTTGCTGACACGGAGGCAACCACGCAGCGCTCCTAACCACCACTGGGTCCTTTGGCGGCATGACGCCCGACCATCGCCACCTGGAACGCGCGGGCCCTCATGTGCCACACAGGCAGGCGCCGCCGTCGCAAACGAGCCGCCCACGCCAAGTACGCGAAGCGCAGGTGCGCGATCACGCTCCAGGAGGCCCACGGCTCCGAGGCCCTGCTCCGCACCTGGGTCGACGAGCCGCCGTGCCCCACAAGGTCTTCTTCTCGGCGTTCCCCGGCGTCGACGGCGACAACTCCACGGGCGGCGCCGCCGCGCTCGCAACGCGGCTCTCGCCGATGGAGCTGGCGCAGCTTCAGCCGCATCAGCTTCCACTCTTTGACCACGACGTACTCGTTCCTGGACGCGCCCAGCTGCCCGCGGTCACGCGCGCCGTCACGCGCGCCACCATGGGCATCATGAGCGCCCACAACCGCGACATCGCCGTCGACGAACGCCGCAAGATCGAGCAGGCCTGGGAGCTCAACCGCACGTGGGCGGAGGCGAACTACCGCATGCGCACGCTCATCGCGATCGGGGATTCCGGCGCAGCCAGCCGCCCGCCACAGAGCTTCTTCCAGCCGCGGCCGCGGGATGCGCGCCTCGGCCTCGACAACGGCGCGCGCCAGCAGCAGCCGTTCTGGAGGGCCCTCTTCGACTCCATGCTTAAGATCGCGACCGACCTCCCGACGCGCTTCAATCGCTCGGACTACGCCGCCTCCACCATCGGCCGCATCTTCATCAGCCCCCCCTCGCGCGCCACGGGCGAGCTCACCGTCAGCGCGAAGGTTGCACGCGACGCCGCGCTGCTCTCGGGCGACCGCCTCAGCGACCACGCGACCATTGCCTTCTCCATCGGGATCGAGCCACGCACGCCGCTGATCGACCAGGCCATCCACCCGTCGATCGTCCGCGACCCGAACTACGCCGTCTACTTCCAGCAGCTGCTCGACGCCACGAAGACCGACCACGTCTCCATAGATAGCCGCTGGCGCACACACACAAGAGGCCCATGACTGAAGCTGCCCAGCTGGTTCGTGACGATGGGGTTCGAAAGACTACCGGCGACGTCAACCAACAAGTCGGGCTACCCCGCCAAGTGCGTTTTCACCGCGCGCCCCATCTACAGGGCCGTCTGGCGCCAAGATCTTCAACTCGCTCGCCGCGTTGCCGCCGCCACCGATCTGGGCACCGAGTATTTCTCGATCGCCAATGGCACTGTCACGCTCCGCGACCCCCTTGACTCCGCCACCCAGTCCGCGCGGCTGCGCCGCGACCTCGAGGCCAGGCAACTTTCTCTTGCCCAGCAGGCAGCTTTGCGCCCCCGGGGGCAAGAAGGAGCGTTGCCACCAGAGGAATTACGTCTGGTCAGGCGGCCCCCCCAGCGTCGGGCCCCACTGCGGGCTCCGTGGAAAAGCCGTCTGGTCATCCAGGGAGTCAAGATCACAGGCCCTGCTGGGCCCCAGGCTGTTAGAGAGAGTAGCTCCATCGCTGCTGCTCCACCCGCTCACTGGCAACCCGTCTTCGGCGCGAAGCGCGCTCACATTGCCGAGGTTCTCGACTACATCCACGCGCGCGTGCCGAAGGGCGACCTCTTCGACATCGGGGCGCCTGCCAAGCCGCAGATAAAGGCTTCCAGCGCAGAACATCCCATCGGCTCCTGGTCCAGACTGCCTGCCATACTCTGCCTGGCTCGCGCGCGAAGCCTCGCTCGACGCGCTCGAGGACCTCTCCTTATTCCTCTGCTCGGGCCGGTGCGACATCCGCGATCTGAACGACCCCGACTTTGCCTGCCTGCCGAAGGTCGATAATGCGCAGGGCGAGCTCACCGCTGACAGGGCGCTCGAGGACACTCGCCCGCTCTCGCTGCAGAACACGGACATCAAAGCCATCGCAGTAGCCGCTAATTTCATGATCATGGACGCTGTGGCAGAGCGCACCCACATCGCTCAACAGGGCTTCGTTCAGGGACGCAATTTCCCCAAGCACATCGTCCGCTTCGACGCCGAGATGCGCCGTGCTGGATGGCTGCCAGACGCTGCCGACTCCAAGCCCGTCTTCGCCAGCTTTGACCTCTCGGCGGCTTTCCTGTCTTTGGGGCGGGACTGGCTCTTCATCGCGCTGGGGCACTTTGGCCTCTCGCAGGGCATCCCCAACCTCTTCCATGCCATGGGCATCGCGCCCATCAGCTAACGACATCGGCCTGCTGGCGAACTCGTTCGACACGCCGCGACAAGTGGCCGCTCCGTTTGCCGCTGCGGAGGAGCTTGCGCTTCTTTATTTGAAGTCACGCAGATGCTTCGTCGTGCCTCTCTGGTCCGCCGCGTCCCCAGCCACCATCGCCACCGCGAAAGCGCTCCTGGCCGAACTCGGACCTCCATTGAGCGGCTCTCCGGCTGCGGGGCGTGCCAAGTATGCGGGCACTTCTCTTGGACCCGAGGCCTCACTGGCCGTCCAATGGCACGCCCTTGGGCCAAAAACGTGGCAACGGGGTAATGTGTTTCAGCTCGTGCAGGGTGGCAGCGACGCCACCGCTTGCTTATATAATGCATCAGCGCTGACTTCGTTCAGCTATTTCACGCAGTTCTTCCCCCTCGGCGCTTCCATTGCACGCCCTGAACTGTATATATATATATATATACATATATATACACCACAAGATGCTGAGCTTACCGCCGAACCAGTTTCGCAAAGTAGGCCTGGTCGCCACGGCGGGCGGGTTGGAGCCCGCCACCAGTCATCCAATCTGCCCAAGTCCTAGCTGTCGCTTCCTCTGCCCGTTCTGCAGCGGTGACGCTCTGAGGTGCCTGGGAGACTTTGGCCGGTCGCCTCGCTGACTCGTCGTGAACATCATTGCAGGCTGCGCCTCGCCGGCAGGCTGGCGCATGGTCACCTCCCTTGTGGTCATCGCAGACATCGATTGTACAATGCTACCGCTCACTGATTCGCAACGAATCTCAGACGCCGTTCTCTAGCCAGTCTGCCGCCGCTGCCGCTCGCGCCGCACGCCTCGAACAGAGAGAGGCTGCCGCTGCGAGCCCACCTCGCCGTGCCAAGTTTCAGCGCATCTATGCGAACAAGCTCCGTGACCTGACTTTTTTGTCGCCGTCCACGGTCGCGCTCGCCAAACGCCTCTCGTCCTGGCGCCTCCAGGCGCCATCGGCACCTGGAAAACTTTGGAAACGTTGGAACTCCCTGACGGACACACTCAAACAATTGCGCCCGAGCTGGCGCTGGGCCACTTTCAAGACCCTCAGCGGTGGGTGGACGGCCACCGCTAGGATGCACGTCCATCAGCAGCGCAAGCGCGCGTTCGGCTGCGCCGACGCGCCTGACTCCTCCCCGCACTATCTCTCCTGCCCCGCCCTTTCGAGGCCCCATCTGGCTCCCTGATCCCCCCTTCATCCAGTCGACGCCGGCGGCCTGGGGACTTGGCCCCGCTGCAGCGTGCGCGGCTGACGCGGCCAGTCCAATGTCACTGCCAGCGACGGTCTCGAGGATCGTCCTGGCTTGTCATTTTTACGACAAAATGAAGCTCACTGCAAGCGCCCGCGCCGCATCTGTTTCGCCAGCAAATCTAGTCGCCTCGCGCCGTGCATCACTCGCACTACGATTCAGGTAGAGAATCTAGGCCCGAGCACGCACCTGCAGAGACGAACACATGTGCGCTCTTCTCGTTCATGCTCGTGTCCGCCTGTCCTCTTCCTTTCTTCGGGGTACCCTGACTCCTCCTCCTCCTCCTCCTCCTCGTCCTCCTCCTCCTCTCGCCGCCTCCTCGCCGGTCTGAGAGCTGACGCACCCGTCCAGTCCCCCTCGATTGTTTCGGCCCTCGCGCCTCGCACCAGCTGGCCTCCCAACCCGTTGGGTGCACGCCGTTCCTCGCGCCTCACCTCCTGGGGCTTCGGTTTCCTACCGCGCCTGCATTGGGCCCGCCCTTCTTGCGGGCCCGCACGGCGCGCCTCGCTCGAGCGACAGAGCGCGGCTTCTTTCAACTACTTGTTGATGCTGGTCTCCACTGGATGGCCGTGCCGCTGTGGCTAAAGGGCGCGGTAGTTTAAGTGGCCCATTCCATGGAGCTGCTGACAATCCTCATCATTATTGTCGAGCGGAGGCTGTGGAAGCGAGTTTCCCTCCTGTTGGTATCCGCCAGCGTCTTCGTGACCATCGAGCTGCTAATCGCGCCAAACACCGAGTCGGCCTGCTTCGACCTGAACCACGAGATGCTCAGTTGGCTTCTTCGGGGACTGCGGCGCCGCCCCAGGTTGCAGAGCCGGCCCGCGCGCCCGAAGATCTCCGAGGTCTACGCCGGCAAAAGCGAAGATATCAAGTACCATATGGTGAACATCAAACAGCACCTCGTCGCCAGCGAGCAACAACTGCAGTAACAGCACAAACTCACCGATGATCGCTAGAACGGCAAGAAGCCCATCAGCGTGCCATCGCCAAGAGAAGCGACGCGGCCAACTACCAGCATGAGACTGAGATGTTTTGGTCCCGTTCTCAAGGTCGATTTTTTTTGTTTTGGGGGTGGTGTTTCTCCGATGTGGGATTGCCGTCTCGCCGTTTGCGGTTCGTTTTGCGGTCCGTTTTTCCCAGTGGTTGCATTTGATTTTTCCCGTGTCTGATAACTGTTTTTTGTGTTGGGTTGCCTTTTGTGGTCTGCATTGGTGCCGCTGCCCGTTCGCGGTGGGCCCGCCGGGCGCGCGCGCGTTCATCTATATATATATATATATAGAGAGACAGAGAGAGAGGTGTTTTATGTTTCTTTCGTCTGCTGCGTTGGATTCATTGTTTCGTTGTATTGGCCGACCGCAGCATGTTGAACATTGACAAACAACAAAACGAAATAGCGCTTTTCACAATAATTAAGATTCTAGAACATTGCGAACCAGCTCCTGAAGTCCGCGGCGCAGGGGCAGCCGCTACTGGAGCCCACCGACCTGTTCAATTCGAAGGACGTGCCCACTATCGGTCCTGGGCTGGCGTTCTTCGCGCTCGATGTTCTATGGAGCGAAGATGCTGCTGAGTGCGACTTCCATGGCCACTTCGCAAGCGACCCCAACGAGGTGCAGATGGACGTGCAAATGTTGGACAACTCCGTGAGCTTCCCACGGTCCGTCACGACCAGTACGCTAGCGACCCCAACGAGATGACGACGCACGCGCCGATGCGCGGCGACGCCGCGAGCTCCGCGCCCGTCCAGCTTCAGGACCATGCTCTCGTCGTGCTTGGACGCCGACGACGCGCAGTGCTGCGCGCCCGCCCCCTCCGTCGCGGTGCTGGACGGCTCCACGTTGATGACCACCGACAAGAAGAAGCTCCCACTCGACACGGAGATCGCACTCTCTGTTTCCGCCGCCGAGGACATCGAGATCCACGGCATGGAGCACCGTGTGCACGGGCTGCTGATGTACGGGCTATGGGTAGATCTGGACCTCTGCTGTTCCAGCAAACGAGACATCAGCGACGGCAGCTCCGTCATGTCCGCGCCCAGCGTTCCGCCGAATGTCCTCAGTGTGCCCTCCGAGGCCGATGCCTTCGTCGACGAGCTGATCGATGCGACGGATTCGTTCGACCCATTCGAGTGCGACACGCTGGAGAACATTCTCCAGAACGCGGAGGACATCATCCAGCGCCACGCCAGCAACGTCGACAGCCACGACGTCCTGAGGCGCGACTTCAACATGATCGCCGAGCCCGCCGTCCCCACCCTGAACAACGGTCGGTTCGCTGGACGCTCAGCGCCCAGGACTCGTGCGACTGCAACTCGCTGGCGGACCTCGTGACCTGTGCCATGTGTTATGGCTGCTCCGATAGGGGACTCCTCCGTGTCAGACGGGACCCCGACGGACGCCGACATAGGTTTCGAGCATGACAACCCCAGCGATCCCGAGAGCACCGACCTCCTCCACACCTCCTTCGCCTCCTACAAGAAGTATGACGGCGACTTTTCCGCCCCGCACGCCCTGAGCCAGGATGTCGCGAGGACGAGCTAGCTGCCATGGGAACGCGGCCTTCCAGTTACGTTCGCTTTTCCTCCTCCTCCTCCTCCTCCTCCTCCTCCTCTTCATTATCCCCGCTCCCCTCCTCGGCCTCCCTGCCTGGGCACCCCTGCTCCCCCGCCCCTTCGGCGAGAGGAAGGGTGGCGCAGGTCGCCCCCCGTGTGCAGCGCCGCAGGCCCGAGCAGAAGACCATCAGGAGGGGCGCCCCCCGCCACCGGGAGCGTTGAGACGGGGGTCGACGCAAGCAGGATCCTGCAAAGCCAGGGTTGCACCGACCCGGGCTGGCCCCCCAGGATCCTGCAGGATCTTGTTGGATTTTGCAAAGCCCGGGTGACCCAGGCTTGCGCTGATCCAGGATATCTTTGGGATCAGGATGTCTGTTATTTTTAAGATTTCCCAAACGAAAATCCTAAGCGCCAGGAGTATCAATATTTCCCGGACAATTCAAAGGTGGTTCAAAGCGACCTGATATTCCACGTGATATATCGGCGCTACGAAAGTTTTGACCCGTTTTGTGTTTTCAGCTAAACAACGCCTGAGCATCGCACCATTTTGGAGGAAGTCCTGCGCGGGAGCGCCATTTCGAAATCGAAGCAGAAAGGTTTCGAATTCTATGTTTGCGGAAATCCTAGGCGGGAGCGCCATTTCGAAATCGAACCCGAAAGGCTTCGAATTCTATTTTTGCGGAAGTCCTAGGCGGGAGCGCCATTTCGAAATCGAACCCGAAAGTTTCGAAAAGCCCTGACCCGAAAACTCGAAAATGCAGCTTTCGCTTAGGACTTCCCCCCCCAAAACGAGCTCGACTGGATTTCGAAACCCTCGGGCTCGATTTCGAAATGCGGCTTTCGCCTGGGACCTCCTCCCCGAAACGAGCTCGGCTGGATTTCGAAACCCGCGGGTTCGATTTCGAAAGGGCGGTGCCGCCCGAGACTGGAGCGAAAAATGCTTCAACCGAACATTGTACTGGGGCCCCGCGGCCTTACGGGCCCACTGCCAACGTTGTATTGGGGCTTCGTCGCCTACCGGGAGGCGTTGAATTTTGGCCCAACTTTCGTAGCGGCGGAGTATTTTGGGCAGGCAAGTCGGCGTTGCCCAGAGGGTTCGAGGGGCGCCGTTTGAGAATGGAGGCATTCTGGCGTCTGGAGGCTCCTTCGGGTCCTCCACGAGGCTGCGGGTCGCCGCGGCTGGATTCCCGTCGAAAGCCTGGCCCAAGCACGCTGCCTGAAAGATCCTGGGGCCAGAGTTTCCAGGGCCGCCGTGGAGAGAAGTGGCCCTGCGGTGGGAGAGGAAGGAGGAATATCGGAGGAGGGCCCCGGCTTCGGATGCTCTTTGCCTCTTTTGTCGGGCCCTTGGAGGCCTCTGAATGCTTCCTTGGACTCCTGGAGGCCGCCGCAGACGTCTGGAGACCTCCTCCCAGGACCGTCGGGAGGCCTCCGCGCCGTCGACGGCTCTCCGGACTGGCATCCCGCCTACGCCATATTGCATTGGAACTAGGCCAGTTGAGTACCGCATTCTGTGTGTTGCCCTTGGCTAGGATCGGGGGAGCGTAAGACCCGGGTTTGCCGGGACTCGGGTTCGCCATCGTTTTTTGACGATCGCGACTCGGATTTTGACGAGGAGGAGTTTCGTGGGATGTCTGCAGCGGGAGGCCTCGTCAAAATGCAGGCTCGGCCTCGTCATTTTTTTGACGACCTCGTCGGGGATTTCCGAGTCCCCCGTACCCGGGTCTTACGTCTCCCCGAAACTAGGCCAGTTGAATACCGCATTCTGTTTGGGTGTTGCCCTTGGCTGGGATGCACAACCACCTGCCCGCTAGCGTAATCCAGGAGTCCAGCAGCGCTCTTTTATTTCAAAGCGGCATGCAAGGCCTTCTCCAACATACTGGTGGGCCAGCAGCGAGGACCCGGAATGAGAAAGACGATGTTGCCCGCGAGTGCCCTGGCACAGGGACCCTCGTGGCAGCACATCTTGCCAACATCTGCGTCGACAGAACCAGCGTCACGATGATGACCGCGGCCTTGACCCAGCATTCTAGCTTCGATGCCGATGCAGCGACCATGCCAAAGACACTATCTGATCCACTAACGGTTTCCTCCACAGTTGTATGACAGCCCGCCCCAGCCACCACCACTGCGACTCTTACCGCAATCACCGCCAACACCGCTTCTCGTGCTGCGCTTCCTACCACAGCTACTCCAACTTCTACCTTCTCGGCGAATGAATGATGGAGGAACTTGCTACACCACCTCTGGGCGGGGCTTTGTGCTGTTGGGTCAATGGCTGGACCAGCCCTCCGTCCCCGCCACCACCACCCCTGCTGGCGCACGGAAGGCTACTAGTACTACCGACGTGAGCAGCGGCCGGGCACGTCTCCATTTCGTCGCTCCTTATCTCTCCTCCCCCTCCCCTCCCTCCCCAGCATTTCTAGATACATTTTCCTGGCGACCGCCCAAACCTGCTTCCTTGAACGTTTTCCTGGAATTCTGAAAATTGGTTTGTACGCTCGCCCTTTCTCTCTTCCCTCCCTCCCTTTGTCGCCTTCAGTTATACTCTGGAGTGTCTCGGTGCGGGAGCTGTCCAGTCGGACCGGCCTACGCACTCGCGAACTTGAGGTCATCGCCTGCATCTCTCCATTGTCTTCTTGTCTTCCTAAGTCTTCCTATTCTGCGCGAGTCTGGGGCTGCTGACAGATTTCGTTTGCAATGCACAGTCCCGGGCTGCTACCATTTAGATTGCCACGCCATGTTGTTCATTGTTCTCTCGCATGTCTGGTGCTTCACTGATCTCTCGCGTCTCTGCGCAATCGTGGTTACCGATATCATTTTTTGATGAATTCCTATCGCCCTCTACTGGTGGCAAAGTGTTCCTGGTACCTTTGGTTACACAAGGCAGCGGTATCTATCTGGGGTCACGCCCACTCCAAGAAAAGTGTTGTCGGTGCCGTCGTGAGAAAGCAGCATCCGCAGGAGCAGGGGTGTGCAGGAGGACGAGGGGTCGAGGGATAGGGATAGCAGGTCGTGTTGTTCCTCCATATCCTCTGTATTTCCCTCTATCTCTCTCAATATGTAAATTGACCTACACATGTGTATACAGGTGTGTGATACATCTAGAACTATATACGTATGATACGTGTGCACACACATAGACCTAAGTGTATGTATATGTAGAGAGAGAGAAATAGTATCCTTCCTCCCCCTCCTCTCGCTCCTCCAAGAAAGAGGAGGAGGAAGAGGAGGTGGAGGATGAGTGAAAGATGCTGCTTCCAGTGGCCAGATCGTCGACAAGCTCTGCATCGAGGCAAGACCACCTGGGGATTCGTACAGTCATACAGGGCCATAAGGATGAGTAACGTCCAAAGGGTGCAGTTACATCCCCGCCTCTTCGCACATCCTAACCCTTAGCCAGGGGATGTGGGCTTCCAACTTCGGCTCCAATTGGAATGCCCAGGAGCCATGCGTCCGTATGACCCAGTTGCACTGAAGCATAGCGGCCGCCAGGGTTTTTGTTTCTCTTGCGCTCCTGGACTGGACGCGCGCTGGCAGGAGGATCGAGCAGGAAGAAAAGGACGGGAAGGAAAGCAGCAGGAGGAAAAGGACGAGGCCGAGGATGAGAAGCAGCAGCATGAGGACGGGGCTGAGCAGCATAGGGTGGAGCAGGATGGGAATATGCTGATGACCAGGAGGAGGAAAAGGAGGACGAGGACGAGCAGCGAGACGATGAAGCTGTTGAGAAGGAGGCAACACACATCACCTTGCGCTGATCTAGCAGTCAACGGCGACAGCGCGTCAGTTCTGCCGACGCCACCACCGCCTATGCAGGAGAGGGGTTGGCCCAGCCACCCGACCAGGGCGGGATGAAGGGCGCGCTGATGCACCTTGTCCCCTGAACGCCCTAACGAAGCGGGCAGTTGTCTGCAGAGCAGGGCTGGCTGTGGCCGTCGCTGTCCCAATCGTAGGCGTCGCTGGTCTTGTCGCGCATATGGATCTGTACGCTTGGGCACAGTGGTTGGAGCGGTCGTTGTCGCCGTCGCCGCGGTCGAGTGGGGCTTCGGGTCGGGGGATCGCGTTCCAGACAGCCACCGTGGGGCTTAGCAGTCGGGCCAGTAGTCGCGGCAGCGTGGGCCTCCTTGCTCGTGAACGGCCAGCACGACGTTGTGCAGCGGAGCCGTTGGTAGGTGACGCACGCTGATCCGCCCAGACATCCGACGTCGTGATGTTTCACTACGTTGTTCTCCAGAGGTTTCGGCCCCTTTTCCGGGGATTAGCTTTTCATCCTCAGTCGTTGTTGTATTGCCCCAGGGCTTGGCGAGGGATCGACGAGGAGGAGGAGGAGGAGGAGGAGGAGCAGGAGGAGGAGGAGGAGGAGGAGGAGGAGGAGAGCGTGGCTGCCACAAGCAGGGCACGACCGCCTCAAGCGGCCCGCGCACGGCCCACGAAGCAGAAGCTCGCGCGCGCCGTCACGCGGCTGCTGGGACTCAGGCACCCGCGCCTGGGGGCCGCTCAGCGTTTCGAGCTCGCGCCTCACTCCACCTGCTCTTGGAGCTGTCGCAAACGATGCGCCCACCCCGGGAGGGGAGAAGGAGAAGGATATCCATCGGGGGCCACCAAATGGTGTGGTGACCACACCGTGTGGTGAGTCAGTGCGGATCTGGGGTGACCGCACGGTTTTGGGACTCGGGTCGTTCTCCGAGGATACCTCGCGCGGCTGGGGTGCGCCTCCGTGGTCCCAGAACGGTGCGGTGACGGACCGTGCGGTGAGGTCTCTTGGGATTTCGAGTCACCGCACGGTCGGTCGCTGCACGTTTTCGGGCCCACCCCAAGGTCACAGGGGCAACGATGGGGGGGCGAACTGGCACAGGGGGGGAAGTTTCGAGCCCCAATAGCCCATTCGTCGCCGATCCAGGCTTGCGTGCCCCAGCCTACCCAGGAATGTAGGGTGTCCTCATCACGGGCAGATCGCCTTCTGTTGGCGATGCATCCTCGATTCCAAGCCAACGTTCCCCCTCCCCTGAGCCAATTCCGACCTATCGCTCCCCTCAGATACGGGGGACGGGTAGGGTGAGGGGAAGAGGCGAGAGGATGAGGAGGGAGGAGGGGGACCTCAAACGTCATCGGGACGAGTGCTGTCAACGCATCAATGGTCGCCGCGAGTCGGCGCATCTGGGCCGGGTCCGTGAGGTCCAGAGGCTCGGCGGTCTCCGAGTCGACGGCCGCATCGCCGAAAACATCGCCGAGGTTTCCATCTGACTGTGCCGCCACTGGCACCCCCTCCTCCGCGAGAGCCATGCTCCGCCAAGAGCACGGCCTCGCGCCACTCGGAGTGCCCGCCGCCTGCGACGACATCGCGGTCGGGATCTCGCTTTCAAGGTTCCGTCGTTCCGATCAAGGCTTTGATTGCAAACCTCCGACACACTTTCATCGTCACCTTTCAACGTCGCCTTCAGTTCGATTCCCGCGAAAGGTCGTCCAAAGGCCACGTTCTATGCTCAATTGCAGTGTCGCTCTGCTGCGCCCCTCGCCCCTCACCTTCTCACCCGCTGTTTCACACGATGAGTTCCGGTGGACTCGGAGGCCTCAACAAGTCGCCCAACGGCGTCGTCATTGGCTGCGTCCAGCTTCAGCTCCCGGTGGTCACGACGAAGTCTGACCTCGCGGCGCAGACGGACAGAATCGTCAAGATGGTGGGCAAGGCCCGTCGTAACCTCGGCACGATGGACCTGGTGATCTTCCCGGAGTACTCTCTGCACGGCCTGTCGATGTGTACCGACCCGGATATCATGTGCAGGCTGGACGGACCCGAGGTGGCCGCGTTCAGGGCGGCGTGTGTCGAGCACAAGATTTGGGGTTGCTTCTCCATCATGGAGTACAACCCGGAGGGAAATCCTTACAACACAGGGTTGATCATCGACGAAACCGGGAAGATTGTTTTGTATTATCGCAAGCTCCACCCGTGGATACCCGTGGAGCCTTGGGAGCCCGGCAACGTCGGCATCCCTGTGTGCGACGGGCCGAAGGGGTGCAAGCTCGCGCTCATAATCTGCCACGATGGCATGTTCCCCGAGATGGCTCGCGAGTGCGCGTACAAGGGCGCGGAGATTATGATTCGAACCGCCGGGTACACCGCGCCGATTCGTAATTCGTGGCGCTTCACGAACCAGGCGAACTCGTTCCAGAACCTCATGGTCACCGCGAATGTGTGCATGTGCGGTAGCGACGGCGACTTTGACTCCATGGGCGAGGGGATGATTGTCAACTTCGACGGCGAGGTCCTGAGTCACGGCTACAGCGGAAGACCCGACGAGATCATCACCGCGGAGGTTCGCCCCGACCTGGTGCGCGAGGCGAGGATCCATTGGGGCGTCGAGAACAACATATACCAGTTCGGCCACCGCGGGTACGTCGCCGTGAAGGGCGGCGCGACTGACTGCCCGTACACGTTCATGAAGGACCTGGTCAACGGGCAGTGGAACCTGCCGTGGGGCGACGACGTGGTGCACAAGGACGGGGCGAGCTGCGGGTTCGGGCCGCCCACCAGGGAATACAAGGGCGAGGAGCCGACACCGAAGATGCCCGATTGAGCGCCAGAACGTTGAATTCGTACCCCATCTGCATGACTGTCCATACGTGGGCGTCAGACCGAAATCGCACAGAGGGTCGAGAAGATGCGCGGGAAGGGACATCATGTCTGCTCGGCGGAGAGCTGGCGTATCACCTAGCGGCTGCCTATCTTAAAACATGCGCGGCTGGCAGCTGAACGCGTGTGGTGACCAGGATGTGTTAGAATGCCTTGCTTTCTCGAAGCGGCAAGTGTGTACATAGTAAATCGTGTTCCTGCTCGTCTCCATTCAGATTAAGGAGCGCTCTTAAGCACATTGGTAATAGAAAGGCAGTGCGCGTGCGAATACTTCATCATTGAGTAGTGTTGCATATTGGGCACTGTGTTTCACTAATCGCGCAGCGCTTCCTTCTCATTGACGCAGTTGTGTCCTGGCACCCTTGGAATAGACATGGTCCCTGCCAGAAGCTACATCATCGCTCAGACCTGTCTTTCCGCAGCTTCCGCCTCACCTGCCAGACGCGGGTGGCACCAAGGGCGTGAGGAAAAGTGTTATTCCTGCCGCTAGCCGTGATTTTCTAGCTTCGCGTGGTGATTTGCGTTTGGTTAAAGACTCGACATTTGGTCAGGCATGTTTGCATTGGCGGTGTCTGATACGTTGCACGTATCGTTGAGCACGGGTGTTGTGTTATTGCTCGTTTTGTTCATGACGCTCAGAGGGAACGCACGGGTCTGACCCACGGCTGAGTGGTGGCCCCGTTATCATACTTGGCCTTGCGTCCCGCGGTTATACCGAGTCTGAGTATACCGTTGCTATTACTTTGGATGTTTTTTTTTGTCGCGCGGTTCTGGCCGAAATCTTATTGCAACCCCGGTATGTGGATTTTTGGTTGGGCTTGTGGGGCGTGTGGATATTGTGGGACCTGGGAGATCTGCGAGACTTGTGGGGCCCGTGGCACCAGCGGGACTTGCGGGACTTGTGGGGTTTGGTGAGCCGTTGTGGGACTTGTGACACATGCGAAACCTTTGGAACTTCTGAGACCTGTGGAACCTGTCAGGCTGGTGGTACGACCTGTGGGGCGACCTGCGACAATTGTAGGTCCTGTGGGACTTGTGGGGCCTGCGAGACCCATAGGACCTGCGAGACCTGTGGAATCCAGAAAATGACCCACGCTGGGGCGGGAGCGCCATTCTAAACGACGGGAGCACAGCGCCGACCCGAAAATGAGGCCGACGCTGCAGCGAGAGCATTTTTTGAAAAACTTGCAACAATCGGATTGACAAAAAAACCATTTGAAAAGCCAGTTCGCGCAAATCCAATGCGTTAACATCAGGACGCGGAGGGGTGGCACACACTCTCAGGATCTATTCGGGGGAGGGAGGAGAGTAGTTTCCTAAGCAGCGTTTGCATGTAGAGGTTCTTGCATCTGGTCTGCGGACAGGGCCTGGCGCTCGGTCCGGCGGCTATGTTGTCGCCGTCGCCGCGCCGCCCGTCGTCGGGGCTTGACGGTCGGTCTGGCAGCTATGTTGTCGCCGTCGTCGCCCCGTCGCCGTTTTGCCACCCGTCGTCTGGGCCTGACGGTCGGTCTGGCGGCTATGTTGTCGCCGTCGTCGCCCCGTCACCGTTTCGTCGCCGCCCGTCGTCTTGGCCTGACGGTCGGTCTGGCGGCTATGTTGTCGCCGTCGTTGCCTTGTCGCCGCCTCGTCGCCGCCCATCGTCTGGGCCTGATGGGCGGTCCGGCGGCTATGTTGTCACCGTCGCCGCCACATCGCCGCCTCGCACCACATAGAATGCACTACATATATTTCTATTTTCCAATCGAAAAATCAGATTTCCACCACCCTGGACTTAACGATACCCCTTTTTCGTAATGCATTTTACATATGATTCTGCCCCATCGTCCATCCTAAATATACACTCGTACCATCCAGGCAGGCTGGTACCAGCACCCCCCGTCATCCTCCGCACAAAGTACTATGCGCGCGCACCCCTTTATTGAACATTGTCTGTTTTCAACCACCCTTTGAACAAAAAGCAAAAAAGTGCCCACGCGCGCGTCGTCGCGAACGCACGCCAACATCCTTAAAAGCTTGGGGTTCTCAAGGATATCAAAACCGATTGTCCCGTAAGCATCTAAACAACATGTGGTTTCGCAACAATAAACTTAAACTAAAAAACGCACAAACAAAAACATTATACCAGAGAAATGCCCAAACATAATCTGTTTAGGGCTATAGGGCTATAGGGTTATAAGGCTATAGGGATAAAATGGCTATAGGTCTACAGGGCTATAAGGCTATAGGGCTATAGGGCTATAGGTTTACACGGCGCTATAAGGCTATAGGGCTATATGGGCTATAGGGTTACTGGGCTTTGGGGCTATAGGGTTTTTGGATTATAGGGCTATGGGGCCATAGGGCTATAGGGCTATAAGGCTATAAGGCTAGAGGGCACCCGGGCACCCGGGCGTGCCGCCGAAATCGGCCACACAGCTAACCTAACCACATGAATCCGCTAGGACCCGTACAGAGGCAAGCTCTGATGGGGGAAATTCTTAAGAAAACCATGGATCCCCCAACATTTTCTTAAGATGCTGCCAAACGGGCCCCTCGCGGGCGCGTGTGTCGAAATCGTTCAGACGCCCCTGCGCGCGTGTTGTCCCGAGAGCCCTTGCAACAAATGTGACGACACGCGCACGCGCGCGCGTCGTCGCGCGCATGCCCAAAATTCAAATAACCAGGGGTCGTCAGGATGTCAAGATCGAGCGTCCCGAAAGCATATAAAGACACATGGTTCTGCAGCGCCCGTTTCCATTTATGCTCAGGAACACACACAATATCTATATATATATATATATATATACATATACTTACTTACATACATGCATGCATGCATACATACATACATAGTGTGTTTTCTTACATATATATATAGGAAAACAGAAAATGTGGTCGCGCTCTGGTGAATTCTACGGGACACATGAGTTTTCAACATACACTGCCAAACGGGCCTCTCGCGCCGCATGTCGTAATCATTCGAGCGCCCTTGCGCACGTGCTGGAGGGACACGATCCGTGTCAAATAATTCCATGCGGGCCACTCTCGCGCGTCGGCCGCGCGCGCATGTCGAACCCCTTCCAAAAGCTCCATCGCCGACGCGAGGACGCCGTCATCGTCGCCGGCGCGATCAGCATCAGCGCCGTCACTGGCCCTGCCGTCGTCATTGTCATCATCGTCGCCATCACCGCTACGATTGCCACCTCCTCGGCCGTTACTGATGTCGCCATGATTCCGCCCCCGCCCAAGTTGCCGACTCGCGCTGAAGTGCCCGCTGGGAAGTGCCCAGCGGGCAGCGCCACCGCGGCCGCGTCTGCCGCGCCAGACTAGCTGGCCGCTGCGCGCGCGAGAATGCGCGGGTTAGCGCGGCCGCAGAGATGCACCAGCCAACGCCAAGCAGCCGTCGCAATCGCCGCCGCATGGGCATATGCAAACCAAGTTGCCGGCGGGCGGGTGAGGCGATGGCGCGAGCAGTGGAGTTGACAAGTCAATGCGACAGAAACAAACTGTTTGCAACACGCAGAATCTTTCTCTAGACCATATTAGGATCAACCCCCCAGCGGGGTTATCCCCCTGCCTATTAGATTGCGCTTTCGCATTTGAGCCTGACCCCTCGCCCATCCGAGCTATGAGTTCGCGCCATCCCAGCCAGACCGGCATCGACCCCCCCCCACCCCACCTCACTTTGGGAAACAATATTGCGCGCTTTTTTTTTATCAAAAAGCGAGTTTCCCATGATCAGTTGCAAGAAATTAAGCGAAGTGCACTCGCGCGCGTCGTCGCGCGCGCATGCCGCAACCCTCCAAAAACCGCGGGTCTCGCGAGGACGTCAAAGTTGCGCGCCACGAAAGAAATGGTCGGCAACCAAGATTTTCAAAACCAAGCTTGCATTCGCGCCCCGGCAAAAATCATCGGCTCTTATTCAACATTATCAGGGAATGCTACCAAACGGGCTTCTCGCGCGCGCGACGAAATTGTTTGAACGCCCTTGCGCGCGCGCGGTCGCGAGGGTCCATTGCCAAAAAAGACGCGGAATGCACGCGCGCGCGTCGTCGCGCGCGTTTGCCGAAATCGTTCGGAAACCCTATATCGCGCAAGGATATCGAACTCGGCCCCCCGAAAACACGTTAAAACATTTGGTTTCGCAACATCAGCTGCCAAGAAAAACGCGCCCTCGCGCCCCGGCGAATTCTTAAGAAAACCATGTGTTTCACACTGTTCATCAAATGAATGCCGTCGGACGGGCCACTCGCGCCGCGCGCCGAAATCATTCGAGCGCCCTTGCGCGCGTGCTGGACGGGGCACGACCCACGTCAAATAATACCATGCGGGCCACTCTCGCGCGTCGGCCGCGCGCGCATGTCGAACCCGCTCCAAAACCTCCATCGCCGACGCGAGGGCGCCGTTCGCCGGCGCGATCAGCATCGGCGCCGTCGCTGGCCTTGCCGCCGCCGTTGTCATTATCGCCGCCGGCACCGTTACTTGCGCCGCCTCCTCGGCCGTCGCTGACGTCGCCGCGATTCCGCGCCCGCCCAAGTGGCCGACTCGCGCTGAAGTGCCCGCTGGGAAGTGCCCAGCGGGCAGCGCCAACGCGGCCGCGGCTGTCGCGCGAAACTAGCCGGCCGCTGCGCGCGCGAGCATTCGCGGGCCAGCGCGGCCGCCGAGATGCACCAGCCAACACCAAGCACCCATCACCATCGCCGCCGCATGGGTTCTGCAAACCACGTCGCGGATGAGCGGGCGGGGCGATTGCGCGAGCAGTGGAGTTGACAATTTCAAATTGAGCATTGGTGCGTTGCACCGAGAAGATTGCCCGCGCAGACTGCGCCATGCGATTTTCACTTTCCTACAGAGAAGAGACTCTATCCCCCCTGGGAAGATCGCCCCCCTGTTTCGCATTGCAATGTACCTGCGATTCTGCCCCATTGCCAATCCTAGATATGAATTCGCGCCATCCCAGCCAGGCCGGCATCGACCTCCCCCGTTATCTCTTGAAGCGCGTGACATGCGCGCGCTCATCAGTCCTCAAGAATATTCTGCAACAGTGGGACAAGTGCACGCGCGCGCTGTCTCGCGCGCATGCCGAAATCATTCAAAAACCTTCGGCTTCTGGAAGAAACGAGTGTCAATATATATATATATATATACACATATGTACATATATATATATATATAAAACACTGGACTCCGCAACACGGCTCGCACAGAAAAGCTTGCGCCGCCCTGAGAGTTCTCCAGAAAACCATGCTGGATTTTCAACATTTGCTGAAAATGCGAACAATCGAGCTTCGCGCCCGCGCATGCCGAAGTCGCTCGAACGCCCCTGCGCGCGTGCTGTCGCGAGAACCCTTTGCAACAAATGGGGCGAGGCGCACGAGCGCGCGTCGTCGCGCGCATGCCCAAATTCATCAAGAACAGCAGGTTTCGCAAGGATGCCACAACCGGGCGACACGAAACCATAGATGGCTTCGCAACATCAGTCTTCGAAAAAAACATGCGCTCGTTCTCTGGCGGTTTCCTAAGAAAGCTATAAGTCTTTCAACATTGTCATGGAATTCTACCAAACGGGCCTCTCGCGCCGCATGCCGAAATCATTCGAGCGCCCTTGCGCGCGTGCTTGACGGGGCACGACCGACGTCAAATAATACCATGCGGGACACTCTCGCGCGTCGGCCGCGCGCGCATGTCGATCTCGTTCCAAAACCTCCATCGCCGACGCGAGGACGCCGTCATCGTCGCTGGCGCGATCAGCATCGGCGCCGTCACTGGCTTCGCCGTCGTCGTTGTCAACATCGTCACCAGCATCGCTACTATCAGC